TATCCAACTTCCATTTTTGATACCGGGGATTGAACTCAGGACTTTGTGGTTGTGAGGCAGTCAGAGGAACCACTATTGAACTCAGGACTTTGTGGTTGTAAGGCAGTCAGAGGAACCACTGAGCCAAATCTCTGGCCCCTTTATTTTATTTTTTGATGTTTGCTTTTGTGTTGGTGAAAACTGAATTTAAGACCTCATGTATGCAAGGCTAGGGTTGTACCATGAGGGCCTGAGACTCTTTCTTTCTTGTTTTTTCATTTGTTTGTTTGTTTGGTACTGGGCATCAAACTCAGGACTTGTGTTTTTCCAGGCAGACAGTGGCACCACTAAACTCAATTCCCAGGGTTTTTCTTTTTTTGTGCTGGTCTGGCTTTGTAGTTCAGGTTGGCCTTGAGCTCACTGTGTAGCCCAGCTTGGTTTTACATGTGCATTGATTCTCCTGCCTCAGCCTCCCAAGTGCTGGCCACCATGCCTGGCTCAAGAGCTTCTCTTTTACTTATTATTGGTGTGTGCGTGTGTGTGTGTGTGTGTGTGTGTGTGTGTGTGTGTGTATTAAACTCAAGGTCTTAGTGCTGTGCTATATCCCCAGCTTTGTTTATTTTTAAAAATTTTTTGGTACTAGGGATCAAGCTTGGGACCTTGCATTTTTGAGACAGGCAGTGGAACCACTGAGCTAGATCCCAGGCTTGCCTTCTTCATTTTTCTATCTTGAGATGGACATCACTTCCCGAACAGCTGATTAAAAGCATATACCACTGCACTAGCAATTTTTCCCCAAGGGTATTAAGGATTCAGCCCAGGGCCTCATGCTTCTTGGCAGGGAAGTGCCCAACCACTGAACTGTACATCCCCAGACAGTCCTCACCCCCTTAAAATTTGGAGATAGGGCCTGGCTAAGCTGCCTAGGCTGGTTTAGAAGCCTCAGCCTTGGGAGTCCATGGGATGATACGTCAGCTCCCCGAAATGCAACTCACTTTCACCCCCAGCCCTGCAGTCTTTTTGCTCTTACTTAGACCATTGGCTCTGGCTTTAAAGACACAAGAAGTCAGGGTCCGGAATTTAGCTCAGTGGTTTCACTGCCTGTTTCACAAGCTCAAGTTTCCAAGTTCAATACCTGGTACAGAAAAAAAAAAAAAAAAAAAAAAAAAAAAGACAGGAAAAGTTGTTTCAATTAACTTAATCACATGACTTAACCCTCATCTGCTTTCCTCAAACTCTTTCCAGAGCATTCCTCTGGGGTTTGTTCCCCTGAAGTTGAGTCCTACCTTTGCCAGCATCTGTTTCCTCACTGCAATGGCTATTCCTAAACGAAATCTGTCCTTTCCATGGTAACATGTTTGCCTTTGACAGGCTTCTGGCTTCTGGTGCTGATTCAGGGGAACGATTTCTTTCTTTCTTTTTTGCAGTACCAGGGATTGAACTCAGTATACTTTTTGTTTGTTTTGTTTTTGTTTTTGGTACGGGGCGGGGGGGATTGAAGTCAGGACCTTGCGCTTTCGAAGCATGCGGCGGAACCACTGAGCTAAATTCCCAACCTGTACGTTGTGCTTTCGAGGCAGGCACAGCATCACTGAGCTAAATCCCTGGCCCCAGGTGAACAATTTCTGGTAGCCCTGCTACTTCCCCAGCAGAGAGCCTCTAAAAGTTTCATCCCCAACTACACAGTGCTGTCTTACTCCAATCCATCCCTTCCTCCCTAGTTTTCTGATTTTGCTGGGACCTTGGTTCCCTTGCTGGGAGGTAAGCTGCATGTCTCTGGGTTATTTTTAATTTTTTAATATTTTTTTGGTACCAGGGATTGAACTCGGCACCTTGCACTTACAAAGCAGGCAATGGAACCACTGAGCTAAATTCCCAGCCCTCTCAGTTCCTTTTGCTCCCTTTTCCTCTGTGCTCCAAATCTATCTGTTCCTTTGACTCTTCTCCATTTTTGTTGCCATTGCCCTAGGTCAGGACATATCAGGTCTTGCCAAGAGGAATGCAATTATCTTTTATCTGATCCCCTTACTTCCAGCTCCGTGACCCCGCCAAGGGCTCCTCCAACACTAAATTGAACACTCCTCATTCCTTTCCATTACATTCCTGGGCTGCTCCTATTGAGTACTTGAAGACTGAACTGTTAGCAAGCTCTCGCAGCTCCCCACCCTCTCACCTCAATCTAAATTTCTCCCCCCAGCCTCTCTGGAACCTGTGATCACTATTCCTTAGACTTGTGTGCATTATCACACTTCTGTGAGTTTGTCCTTATTCTCTTACTTAGGGTATACGGCTCCTCCCATTTCTGCTTATGATCAAAAATTTTCAGGGCCTAACTCAAACATCACCTCCTTCATATATATATCCAATTGTTTTTTGTTGTTTTGTTTTTGGAGAAAGGGTCTCACTATGCAGTTAAAGCTGGTCTTGAGCTCACTATGTAGCCCAGGCTGGTATCCCAGGCTGGTTTCAAACTGTCAGAGATCCTCCTGCCTCATTCTCCCAAGTGCTGGTATTCTAGGCGTGTGCTGCCTTGGACTAAAAGTAAATGACCAAGAAGTCATATTGGGGGGGGGAGAAATTGTAGTGGAGGGTAGGAAACACTCATCGCGCCCAAGCTAAACTGCCTCTGATCTCCTTGCATGTTGCAACACTGTAAGATATGAAACTTTCAGGTACACTTAAAACTTAGAAGAAACTGAGGGAAGGAAGAAAGCAGTTAATATTTACCAAGTGCCCTCCCAACCACGGTACTATATACTTAGCTTTTTACAAAAAAATTCACAAATATCCTCTTATTTAGGTGAAAAATTATTAGAAAGTAACTTTTTTACCGTACTAGGGTTGTTTTCATTTTTTTTTAATTCTTGGTTGGTATAGGGATTGGACGTAGGGCCTTCACAGTGAGCTACATCCCCACTTCTTTTCTTTTGGTTTTTTGAGACATGGTCTTACTATATAGTTGAGGCTGACCTGGAACTCACTATGTTGCCCAGGCTGGTCTCAAACTCACAGCGATCCTCCTGCCTCAGCCTCCAGAGTGCTGGGATTACAGATGTGAGCCACCATGGCCCGCCCTACTTCTTTTCTATTTTTGAGTCAGGGTCTTGCTAAATTGCTGAATTGCTCGGGCTGTGCCTCTAATTGTGACCCTCCTGCCTCAGCCTCAGAGTGTAGAATTACAGATGTATGCCACTGAATTAGCTGGTAATTCTTTACTGGGAAAGAAAATAGTCAATTAAGGGGAAACGGGTGTATACCTCTAAGGGAAAACAGAATAAAACTTGTACTTTTGGTTTAAAATGAGTTCTTGAGCACTGAGTTTTTATTCTGTGAAATCACAATAAACAGGCTTTAGAGTTCAGATTATAAACCTTTTTCTTTTTTTCTGGTACCAGGAATCAAACTCAGGTCCTCAAGGAGGCACAGTGCTGCTGAGATACAACCCTAACCGTAGAAACACTTTTTTTTTTTTTTTGTAAGGGTATAGTTAATAGCTGGGATTGAATTTAAGGGCCTTGTGCTTATGAAGCAGGTGGTAGAACCATTGAGCTAAACCCCTGGCCCTATTAACACTTCTTGATATCCATTTATTAATATATTCACTGTCCTTCTGGGGTGGTGACCATGTTCACTTTAGAAGCCAACATGATGTAAAATAACTCTTACTGAGCCTGATGGTGCCTGCCCATCTAGAAAATATAGGCCTTGTCTCAAAATAAAAAGGGCTGAGGATGTAGCTCAGTGTGAAGGCTCAAATACCACAAAACAACACCCCCACCCCAAACAAAACAAAACAAAACAAAACACTTCCGTATGCTCTGATGAGGTTGTCTGCTAAGGGACATGAGGAATTTGCGGGGTAAGGGTATAGTTAATAGCTGGGTAAAATACCCCTCTCCGCCGTATTTTGGTGTCACAGGAATTTTAAGTGATTTTGCAGTCATTCTCAAGAGATGGTTTTCTTGGTTGTTGGAAGAAGTTGAAGGTAAACTTTGGACAATATTTTATACTATGCCCTTTGTAGTTAAATAACCCAAGATAATGAGTTAAAGTTTAGTGGAGATTTAAATTCCTGAGCTGATTAGAGTTAAGACTCTAAGGTTAAAAAGTGTTAGTCCAGGAGTTTGTAAGGCGTTATATAGTGATGAATTGCATGTCTTAATCTTTTCTTCCTGATCTTGCAGAACGACTCAAAACTAAGTAATAACTAATAAAAAGACAGTACAATTCAATTTGAAGGGAAGGCTTGAACTTTAGGCTGACTCTGGAGCCACTGAAGGTTGTGGGGTCACGATGGAGGTGTGTTTTCAGTACATCTAGCTCTGTGTGCAAACGGGCTGAACAGAGAAGAGCTAGAGGAGCAGTCCACTGGAGGCTACAGCGATGTAGGTGTTGGAACAGGCATGCTAGGAAATAAAAAAAAAATGGTAGCATGAGCGGCCTAAATTGAACAATAACCCAACCGGGAGTGGTTGGGCGGGTGAAGAACTGAAAGAATGGCCTAGTGCTGGTCAGAGAGCCGGTCTGCGGCTCAAGCTCCTCGACTTTCCTCCCGTCCTTAGGGCGACGTCCCCAGTCCAGCTGGGAGACACAGGCCCCAGGGGGGTCACCCAGCAGAGGTTGCCCTGCGGGGAGGACCAACCCAGCGAGGGCCGCGCCCTTTCCCTTCCCACCCAGCGCTCCAGCCCCCCAGGGTCAGCCCCTCCTCTCCACTCCCCTCCCCTCCGTCCCCAGTTCTCTCCCCACCCCCACCGCGAGTCACAGCCGGTACCACCCTCCGCCCCTCTCCCCCTCCCCCCTCCCTCGTGAGGCGCTGACTCGCCCGGCTGCCACGTCTCACTGATGACATCACCAGGGCAGCTCGGCTTTAGCCAATCCGCTAGGGGGAGTCCGAGCGAAGTCCTCGCCAGCGAGTCAGAGGGGAGGGGAGTTGAGAGGGGAGGAGGCTGGGGCTGAGGGAGTGGGGAATGGGGCGGGCGACAAACCCCCAAGTGCGCGTGCACCAGAGGCGCGGGGCTTGGCGGGAAGCTGAGTTCAAGACGGCGCAGCGCCCCGTGGGTCCACAGCGGACACGGCCGCACTCGCGACTCTCCTTCCCGGCGTGCCTCGCGGCGTGTCCTCCCTCTGAGCCGGGGACAGGACCTCGGTCTAGGGCTTCCCTATTTCCTGGTTCGCCGGCGGCCATCTTGGGTGGAAGCGATAGCTGAGTGGCGGCGGCTGCTGATTGTGTTCTAAGGGGAGTGAGTGGGGAAAGACGTCTCCTCTCCTGGAACAGCCTAGCTCATTCCTTTCCTTCGACTGCCCGTGGCGCGGAGAGTCGGGGAGGCGGCTGCGGCAGCAAGGGCGGCGGTGGCGGCGGCGGCAGCTGCAGTGACATGTCCAGCATGAATCCCGAATAGTGAGTGCAGGAGAGCGCCGGGCGCAGAGTCTGTGGGCCGGCTGGGGGGACACTTGCGGGAGCGAGGGGG